TTATTGAAAATAATTCCAGTATTATCAGCTGTCTGATAGAGCTATAAAGTCTCTGATGAATTTTTTTCTGTAGAATTGATAACATTCACAGTTTTGAGTTTACATCTTCAGAGAAAATGACATAATCTGAATGTTTTAAAAATGAATTGACAAAATTTAATTATTTTGATTAATAAATCATATAAAAGTCATAAACAGATAGCTCTTCTGCTCAATGCATTTGACAATTATTCAAACTTTTAATACAGAGAAAGTATTTCAGATTATCATGATCAGTTATGATCTGAATCAGATATGAATTGTCTTGCAGATAGTGTTATCAGTGATGAAATGATATCACTATAATTAAAAGTTTTAAATTATGAATGTTATAATTCTTTGAAGTTCAGAAAGCTTCTGTGAAAAGAATACAATAAATTTCCACTTTTTTTTTTTAAATATATATCAAATTACAAATGTCATTATTTCATTGTGATGTTATTTTCATAGCTTTTTGATAAGTTTCTGATACTGATTTAAAATATTATTATAGAATATCAGCAATGCTATCTTTGTGCTACGCCCTGCCACACGCAGTGCCACGCCTTCGCTCCATCATACGCGTAGTCACATGACTACGCACAGGGCTTCACCTCCTGCTTGTTTCCGCTTGCACAGCATATCTTAGAGTTACGATGATGAAGAATAAGAATAGCATGCCCAAGAGCTTCTTCGTACGGCTTCGCCTTACACTTTGCTTGCATTCATTTCAATTTGAATTTTCTTTTATAGATTGTAATGAATCAGTAAAAGAGTTTGTATAAACACTTCTTTCAAATTTATAAAAGCTTTTTTTACTGAATTATTAAGGTGAAATTTAGATGATTTATCAGTAGCATTTCAAAGAAAATCTGTAAAAGATGCAGTTATTTATGAGAAAGCATATATAAATTTTCAATAAAAGTTCACAAATTTTATAATTATTATTATTATTCTTCTTTTATTATAGATGTATGCAATCAGTGACTATGACATCTACCTGAAATATTTCAGAATTTTTCAACTTAAGATTAAGCTAATATACAAAGTCAATTTAATACATGCAATAGCAGAATTCCAGCCCAGTGTAAGAAACCCGCACTAAGGTGCCAGTGCTAGGCCGGAATTAGCGATAGCCCTAAAGATATGACATCGCCGAACATAACACCACCAACGTCATATCAAGTTTGAAATCAAGGCATTATCTTGCCACTTGCATCATACTACGCCATCTACATCATAGCAAGTTCGATCTGCTTATGATACTGTGTGTATATAGCTAGCAGCTGGTCCAACCTTCTAGGGACCAGCGGATCATTCTGTTATAATCGGACCCCTACGTTCTACACCCTCAATATCTAACTACTTGATCCGAATCCTCTCCGATATATCACCGTATTATCTCCTACTGCTTGATCCTCGTAGAGTCCTAAGGACCAACCGAAATATAAGCAGCCATTTCCAACATCGCTGCTTACACCCAGAATCAAACAATTATTCAAACTATTCAATTTAAGAAAGAATGTCAAAAAAATGACAATAAATCAATATATTCAATTTAAAATAAATGAAATAAAGAGTATAAAAAACAGCAGATATTAAAAGAAAAGAAAGCATTCACAAATCAAACTTTTCAAAACAAGTTAAAAACAAAAATAATCAAAATAAAACAAATTTCAAAGTAAAGGTTGCGACGGCAAGTGCGCGGCCGGAAACGGCAACCGTACCCCCATCTGGTCTGGCGCCGTCCGTCTGCGGCCTAGCGTGACCCCTTGCGGTCTAGCGCTGCCCCGTTCGGGCATGGCGCCGACCCTGCGGCCTCCGTCGCGACTATCCCCTCGTCTGGCCGCGAGGACACAATTAGCGTATTACTATTAGTGTAACAACTAAGCTGTTAGCTCTGAAGTACCAACCAATAATTTCTCATACTAAATTCTATGTAATCTGATTTGTTGATACCACTCCACTATCTCGCGTTTTCTGCTCTACGCGTTCTACAACCTTGGAATCTTCTCATCTTGATCCATATTCATATCCACCGTGGATGCGATCACCCCCTGGCCACCCTGGGATAGAAATATGACCTCTACAGGTGATTTCCAATTCTTCAATGCTTCTTTTAATCAGATTGACTGATTTATTTATTAGACAGTACAAAAACAGGTGTAAAGCGAAAGCGATCTGTCAGTGCACTTCTAGCAGACATTCCACCTCTGAAGAGTATTAGATTCATATCCATGGAATCTCCTCATCGCTCTCCAACTGCCAATCTGCCCAATATTGATCCGCGGAATCCATACACCCTATTCTCTCTCTATATCTCAGAGTCTGATATTCAGAATATTGCCTGTTCCACCAATGCCTACGCGGAGATACAGATATCAAGGAATTCAGCCATCAATCCACGGGAATGGCAGCCAACTACTTCTACAGAAATCAAGGTATTTCTTGGGCAGATTATCTATATGGGAGTACATAGATCTCCGGCAATTGGAGATTATTGGAACAGGAATGATGTTCAGGGGCCAGTTCATTCATCAAGACTTCATATGGGACAAAAGCGATTCGAGCAGATCAAGAGATATATTCATATATCCAACCCTCGCAGGCCGGAATCCTCCTCCTTTATACAGAAGCTAGAGCCTTTATACTCCAACTTCCATGCAGCATGCCGGAAATACTACAACCCAGGTTCAAATCTCTCCATTGATGAGATGATGATTCGGTTCTTTGGACGGTCCAAATACACAGTTAAGATGCCTCAGAAACCAATCAAGCAGGGATATAAGGTCTTTGGACTAGGAGAACAGGGCTATCTTTGGACTTTCTCCATGTCTAATGATAATCTCCGCATAAGTACGATGTTCCGTACTCCAGGATTAACCAAGACTGGATCTCTTGTGGTGGAATTGATTGAACGGTTGCCAGTATTTATACAGATCTCCGCGGCTCTGAGCTCTCTACAGCACTCTGAGCAGCATCTAGAGTTGAATAACAGCAAAGAGGTTGCTGGCTACTCAATTTACATGGACAACTACTTCACCTCTGTTGCTCTATTCCATTATCTTCGAAAGCAAGGAATTGGAGCTTGTGGAACCACCCGTCCTGCCAATCTGCCTCCTCTTCTACAAGAACTAAAGAACTCCGGACTATCCGCTCATATTCCCTTCAATACTCTGTGTATAATACCTCAAAATGAGGTTCTCTGTCTTGGATGGAAAGACAATAATATAGTATTACTACTGTCTACAATTCATATGCCAGACAGCTTTGTTGAACGTGTCAGGAAGCGCCCAGGATTGAACTCAACTAATGGCCCTCAGATCCGGAGGATATTTGGAGACAATTGGCAAAAAGCAGTGGAGATTCCTACCATCATTGATGATTACAATCATAATATGTATGAATGGGATTGACCTAGCAAATCAGTATAGAGCATCCTATGAGACTCATATGCCCACTAATCGCACCTGGTTGACAATTCTGTACTGGATTATTGATCATGCCATTGTCAATGCTTATATTCTTCATCGACTGGCTACTACTGGCACTACTGGCACTACTGACACTACTATATCTCACGTTAGAATTCCGCCGTGCAGCTCTATTATTCCAATCTCCTAAGAATTCTCAAATTCCTCTTACCTAACTAAT